TTCATTCATATACATTCGTTAAGCAGATACTTTTAGGTAACTAAAAAGTTAACAATATCAGTCTTAAGTAACACAGGTCAATGAAGTTTATCATTCTAAGTGGGCCTTGGAACGAATTGAAAAATTATATTTTAAATTCTAAAGCAATTCCGGTGTTTTCATTCCTCATTTCTTTAACAATATAACATACTCCAAACTAAAAGAAATAGTCACAGCAATGTTAAAAGAAATAATAGGTGATTTGCTGCTATGATTACTTTTGAAGACGTAGATATCAGCTGCTGTGCCTATACGCAAGCGCCTAGGCCAGCTGCTACTATGTATTGCTAAACTTTTAAGTTAACTGCTAAGGTGCATTGCTAAGTTATCTATTACTATGCTATTTCAGTATGCTCTTAGCAACCTTTTGGTAAATTAGACTTAACTTTTACAAATTAGCATTGGGTTAAATTAGTTAAATAACCTTTAATATGAGAAAGCTTGGAAAACAATTAAGTGGTATCCAACAAATAACTGTTGCTAAGTTTGTGTTACTGAAAAATAAAAAAAAGTTAAGCCTTTTCGGCACAGTGTGTCCGGTCTGGACACACCTAAAAATTTCCTTCTGTACGTACAGAAAAATTGAATGAAAAAGGATTTATAGGTTACTATAGGTTACTTGAACCTTCTGTATTTATAGTAGATGGCAGCTCAACACAAACCAGTCCTATATTTTAGCCATGTTTAGTTTTTTAAGACCCTCATTTTTCAAGAAATCTTCCAGATTTTTTAGGGTAATAAAAGGAATTGTTTGAAAAGAAATTTCTATGTCATTTTTTTGGCTGCATGCTAATCTCCTTATTCTATTTTTTTAGTTTTTAAATTTTTACCTTGAAATCTTCTTGAAATCAAACGGTGAACCCCAAATGTGCCCAGACCGGGCTCACCAATAATCTAGGGCAACTGAGAGTCTGTATTCTTTGTTTTTCCGCATCTCATCGGTCAGTTCATTGACAACAATGCTCGTTTCAGCACTCCTTTCGAAGCTCTATTCAATCAGTGTGCACCTTTGGGCACACCCACAGAATTAAAACGATAAGAGCTATCTTCACAAATTTTACTTGTGTACTTCTCTAGGCCTAATTAGACTGCTTACCTTTTTTTTTAAATCAAAACTACGACTTTAAAAGGTAGCGTGCCGGAAAGTGTTAAAGGAAAACATTTCAGTAGATATTTACTGTGTCTTTAAAGAACGTGTATTTTTGTAATGATCATCTCTTTAATAAAGGTGTATTGTATACATACAAGGACTTGCTATTTTAGTGCAAGAAATAATAAAAGTTTCATTTTCTTCAGTAGGTTCGATCTTCAGCTATAACAGAGAAAATCACAAATGATTCTAATGATTCTTTTTAATCTCCGAGCGATATATTTAAGAAAGAAATAGAAAGGATAATTTTTAACATCTGGTTTTTCTAATACTCACCAGTGATTATCATCAGCTCATCAGCGATTATCGATTGGTTTCGAGGCAGCAAAAGCAAGGTAATGGCTTTAATATTACAGGAATGTTTAATTTTTCACACATCTGTGATTTGAACGCATCATTTGCAACGATCTAAGTAGCTAAAAATAGATTTGCAACTCGCATTCAGATGAACCTTCACTTTCAACGCCGTTCTTTTAGTTACAAAAAGAGAGGCTATCAAATAGCGAGTTATACAAACACTAGCGAGATCAAATAACATCACAACAAACACAACCACTCACTTCATCACAATTATACATTTTTAAAACTACAGAGCACATAAAAGCGTGTCAACAATCACTGTACGGTACAAATGTCACAAATTTTTAAGATGCTGTACAAATGGCAAATAGTATACCTCTGGCTTTTTTAATTACACAAAATAGAGAATTTACTGTTTCGATTGCTAAATCGCGAATGAATGTCGTTAACTGTTCCTACGTCTATGATCTACGGGAGTAAGAAAACATTAATGACTAATTCATTTGAAACTGTACTTCTTGTATATAGATAAAAAAATACTTAAATATTTTTATAAACCATTGAATAAATTAGACAAGCTGGTGAATTTTAAATACCTTTGAACTGATAATACTGTTATTTCGTTTCGGATTTCACAAAATCGCGTATCCACGAGACCAAAACAATAGCAAATTTAGAATCCTTTAATTAGCAATAATATGCTCTGCTGTAAAACTGATATTTGGTATTAATACGTTTATTGGCACAGCTTTAGTATAGCCCACTCAGAATTTTAATCAAAAACTATCGCCAAGAGGTGGCGATAAATGATATGATGTGGTAACCCATACTATTCGCCAAACGCAATGTAAACAAGAGGATGGAATTACGGTTACAGCTAATATAGTAGTCAGTTACATTTATTCAATTTCAATACAAATTACCGAGATATCCATTTACTCATAGTTAAATGCACGTGCCAATGTATTCTTACTTTTCCGGCATAGCTTCTCTTAAAATTTTTCTCGCGCTGCATTGCACAGGGAAATACAAAATGTTTTTAATTAGAATTGTACTAAAATTAACTATTCTATACAAAATTCGTAACACTATTTTGGCGATTGTTTAACGCTCAGATATTGTGGAGAATACTGTTTTAGAGATTAGATTTTTGCATTTAGTTATGGATGGCTCTAAACCTGCTGTTAGTGATGTTGTAATTAAGTATCGAGAGATTTTAAAGGAAAATTTCAAGTGGGAGTTTTCAAAGTTTCGGAAAGCAAGGCATTCCAAACAGATATTTTATGTATGAATTAACAAGAGATTATGATCTTTTTAGAGGATTTTTAATGGATTGTGGATTACTGAAGGATCAAACTTGTGAAAAATGTAAGATACCATGCAAAGGTATCTTACATTTGGGAAAGGCCAATCAAAGGTGAGTTTTTCGGCATTGTTTTTAAAATTACATCATTTTACCTTAATTATTTTTATTAATCATTCCTTAATATTTCTTTCTTTTAAAATCGTGTATAATAGCCGTAAATTTATTTCTATTACCCACGATTTCTGGTGAAATCAAGATGGCCTCCATTTTTGAAACACGGAGTTTCCTCGAAAATCTGGATGGCAACCATTTTTCAAAACAACGTATTTCATGTGCTTTGGCGAAAGGTGGGCTATACTGAAGCTGTTTCCGTCTATTATTTAATTAGTTGCGATATCTTGGTGATGAGACGGATAATATCCCATCTTTTTGTTTTGATTTTTAAACCAAAAGGCCATTAGACCCAAAGGGCTATTAGTCTCAAAACGGCATTTTGCGCCATTTCACTTTCTGCGTTAATTCACTTTTCCAACTGTTGCCACTAAATATTATCGCCATATATTATATTTATAGAAATTAAATAATGAAGCATCTGCATGAATGTTTATCGCATTGTGGAAAAGCAACGGCACCTAGAGCTATCAAATTTTAAATAACGTAGTCCTCCAACCGAACATGGGTACTTAGAAGCCCGAGTTTTGAATTTCGAATTTGTTTTATTATCAATTTCAAATTTTATAATACGTTAACAAATTTTTTAAACAAACTGAACGATTTTCAAGCGAGCAATGGCAATTCTTAAGATATGCTGTTTTTAAATATTTTGTGATATTGCTGTTGAATTGAATTTTATGTGGTTTAAGTGCGAAGAACATGATATTTAATAAATAAAGGCAACACATAAAATGTTAAAAAACACTCTTTTAGTTGTGATAGAAAATCTGATTTTTTTTCTAATGTTTTTCCTCTATGAGACAATCAACGTTTCGCTTCAGACTTATCAACTTATTCAAAAGTTTCTACTTTTACCATTATATAAAGTGGTGTTATTGATTTTTTCATTAAAAATACCGCTTTAATTCTTATAACTAGTAAATTTAATAATACTAATCGAAAACTTGTAATTAAATGAGGAACTAAAATTAATTCGGTAAATTTAAATATTAATACGCTATTTTAAAACCTGTACACCGTATGCTGCAATATGCAACTAATAAATATTACACCTGTAATCTGTTTATATTTAGAATTTAGATAAAAATAGGAACGTTATCAATAAATCTGCAGAATTCAGTAGAATTCGCTTTTCATTCCTCTTGCAGACCGGGCTCTCATTACACTTGTTGTAAGCTAAAAGAGAAATGCTGTAATTTGTTTTGAAATTTAAATATAAGAAGGACTTTTTTAAATTGAATTGGTTATAAAGTTTAAAAAGAAAAGTTAAAAAGGTCTACATTAAATCAATTGAAAATAAAGAACGTTACTTTAAGTATAAATTTAAATAATCGTTTACTTTCAATTTTTTTTCAACCTAATGTAAAAAATTGGTACTTTTCTGTTTCGCCGGCGCAAATCTCGCCAAGCAGACTTTGTTGGCGACAACATACAGTATACACATAAAAAATGTTAATTCTAAGAATTTTTTTTTATTGGAAGGCATAAACATTTTAATATGGTTTAAAATTTTGTAAAAAGCCAATAAATAAAGACAATAAATTTGAAAAGACATTTAATTTAAGAATTACTATGATTTCATGGTTCAAAATCCTGATTCGCCGGTTCGGATCACGTGACCCCAAGTGATCTCATCTCACGTAAAACTACGCTACTAAAATTTAATTCGCTCAGTAATAATTACATTAATTTTAAGTTAAATCTTAATTTGGAATACAAGTTTAAATGCAAGAATTATTTCAATTCGTACGAATAGCTTACTCAGAAATTATGTAAAACCGCAGTGCTTTACTTCGCTAGTGCATTCTCATTACAATTGATGAATTTAACATTTGATTTCGCCTTCGGATGAGTGGTGTAATTGAGTTCTAATTGACTTAATTACCGTGAATTGTCTTAGGGGATAAAATTTAAATATCGTGTAAAAATTCTATATTATTGTATGCCAGTATTGAAAGAAACAATCTGATAAGAAATGGCTTCAACTTGTTTTGAAACTGAGGCGTAAAAGGTTACCAGCGAAGATATTCCGTCTGGCGTCAGTTAAACCATTATTGGCGACTTTATCGTTTGCGCCGGCAAAACGGAAAAATACCAAAAAATTTTATGATTCAGAAATAGTTCGATTCACAAAACTCTCTTTAAGAAGGAAGCACATAAACTTCTCAGTGAATCTATTAAATTCACTAATGAATTAATGTTGTCAATTAATGTCTTCAATTAATGTTGTCAACTATAAAACACATTAAGTGTTTACTGCCGTATAAATTTCAAATTATCGGCTCAGCTATGCATTTCCAATCGAAACAGTAAATTCGAAAAACAAATCATGAATACGTTTGTTCCGTCATCCTTTATGCTGGCACGTAGCCTAGATAATAATTATTTTTATATCCTTGCTTCTGTTAGCCTTACATAAGTATATCTTTGGTTTCTGGGAGCTTTAGAGAACAAATTGCTCCCACCAACAAGACGGCAGCTGTGGTCAATATCGGCAAAGCTTTGCTTATGCTGATATAATGGGCAAAGGTGAAGTTGCCCAAGATGGCGGCAAGTCTGCTGATGGCACTCAGAAAACCATAGCCTGTACTCCTGCAGAAAACATAATCCATTAAACATGAACATATAAAATAATAATAAGCATTTATTGAATTACTAAATTTCAGTTTGTAAGTTACAAACAGTTAACAGTGGAAGACACGGGGTTCCAATCCCGGCAAAGGAATAGTTGATATCCCTCGTTTCAAAGTTCCAAGGAAAAAATAATATTTTTTGTAATGGAAACTGAACTGAGAAAGGCGTCAATAACCTTGTGAGCACTTGGATTTAATACACTGCGTCTAGATCGCCAATTAAGTGGGGAATAATGTAAAGAATTATGTCTGCTGTTTTAGTACAAATAGTTAGCACATTCAGTTATCACTGGAAGTTCTGTGGTTCAAATTAGGAAGAAGATATAGTTTATTTCTCAAGTTTTATGACTTCAAAAAACCTAATATTTTCTGTAAGTTTAATGAAATTATTATTATCATTCTTTTACGATCCGTTTTTTAAACTGAAGTGTAAAAATCTGAATATATTAAGAATGTTACATTTTCTTCCACACAGCATGACAAGAAAGGGTTGCTAAAGACTGAACTCTTGAAAGATGGTTTACGAGGTCTATACAAAAAAGAAATTTAACTTTTAAAATAAGTCACTACCTAATAAGTATATCTCTTAATCTGAAATGTCTTTTTAAAAACTCTTTCCAGGTGTATTTGTTGATTGCTTCCAGTATGTCTGGAATATGCCTTGGAAATCCTTTTACGGGATCACACCTAAGTCTTGTACCAAACTTTCTTCGATCTCTTTGTTTGTTTCAAATCGTCTGCGTTTCCAAGTGGGTTTCAATTTTGAAAACAGAAAATAGTCCAAAGGGGCCAAAGCTGAAACGAATGGAGGTTTTGTGATGATAGTCACCCGCTGTTTTGTTCAATATTCCCAGATATTACTGACAAGAGTGCTGGTGCGTCATCATGATGTCTCCGGCCATATTCTTTCGTCGCAGATCTTCTCTTAAATGCCTCAGAACATCCAGTAAAAGTACGTGCAACGAACTCATGATGAGGAATGTTTTACTAACGAGAAAATGGCAATCAACGTCATCATTACATTCGATAGCTCTGTCATTTTTTTGGAGGGGAAAGGGCTTGCGACAATGTTGTTAGGACATAAAAAAACCCTTATATGGTGATACAATGATTTGGCATTTTTGAAACAACAGTGTTGTTAGGACATAAAGAAACCTTATATCGTGATAAAATGATTTGGCATTTTTGAGACAACAGTAGGTGCAAAATTAAGGCTAACGCCAGAGAATGTTGTTACAGCGGTTCTGTTAGGTTGAAACATTACTGTTTTAATTTCTAAGTTCGGTTTCTTTTTAGACAAATCTCATATATGATACTACGTACAGTAAACGTTTTCAGTTTTTTAATCCAAAGGGGCTTTGTCTCTGAAGGACTATTGTTTCTGTTTTGGGATTTTGCATTGAATTACTATAAATGTCTGTTTCACTCTTCAAACTGTTGCCACCAAATGTTAGAGTCCTGCATTATGTTTGAAGAAATTAAATAATGAAAAATCTGCATAAACGTATGTATATATCTCGCATTGTGATAAAACAACGGTACATAGAGCTATCGAATTTTGAATGACGTAATCATCCTACGAATATGGGCATGTGGAAGATCAAATTTGAAATTTGGAATTTGTTTATGATCGATTTCATATTTTGTAAAACTTTAACGAATTTTTGAGTAACAAACTCAACGATTTAAAAGGGAGCAATGGCAACACTCTACGGGGGAAAAATCTTTTTAACTCCAACGCACGGAACTGTGTATCGGAAATCCTAAAGATATGCTAATTTAAAAATTATTTTGCGACATTGCTACTGAACTGAATTTTATGGTTTAAGTGCAAAGAACATGATATTTTAATAAATAAAGGTAACACACGAAACGTTAAAAAACGCTCCTCTGAACGTAATTTAAAATCTAAAATCTTTTAGACTTTTTTTAAAGCAGATGACGTGAGAAATGTGCAGTGCCTTCGCCTGGAATCGAGCCCTGCATCTCTCGAATACGCGTCGTGTATGCTTCCAATTACACACGAAGGCATGCGGAAAGGAGGGAAAAATACTTTATATACTCCCCCTTTTTAAACAGAGACTGGGAATTAGGGGGCCCAATCGCCAAATCGTGGGGGTGACGAATTATCGTCTACTATCTTTTAGTTCAGAAACCACTTGTAGGTTCATTAGGCTTGGTTCTGGTACTGGAAACATGAAAAATGTGTATTGCCCTCGTCAGAAATTGAACTCCTGAATTCTCCAATACATGTCGAGTGTGCTTCCAATTACACCACGAAGGCATGCGGAAAGGAGGGAGAAAATATTTTATGACTGTATCCTCTCTTGAGAGAAAGTGGAGGGAAATTACTTGGTTTGAAAGAAATGTGAACAGAGAACGATAAAACGATTCATTAGCCAAACTTAGAAACGTTGAATGGGAAAAATTTCGTCTTGAAAGTTTAACTCTTCATATAAAATTTTAAACCTTATTATTGGTCTTCTAGTGAATGTTTAAAATTTTGCTAATTTTATATATTCTTTCTTTGAACAGATGATATTATCCCAATATTCTATATAGGAATTTACGAGTATTATAGGAATAATTCATTCTATATAGGAAGGTTTTTCGCATGCCTGATGAAGAAAAGAAGGTAAAAAAATTGATTTGAAAAGTGTGGAATTGCAAGAACGATACGAAAATACTAACATTTTGCAGTGATAATTTCATTATCATATGAAATGTATTCGCCTGCAAAATTTATGCCACATTTAGGAGAAAAACTTCCTTTCCACAAAATTATAATTGATTTCATCTCCTTAAATCAAATTATCTCGTAATATGCTCCTAGGCTAACACAAGGCCGAATCTTTTCCCTAGCTTATCTCTTCACAGCTATTTCATTTTAGCTTTACCCCTTTACAAGCACCTTATTAATCTGTCTAATATTTAGTGCCGGCATGTTATAGTTTTATCATAACAAATACTGACATCTTAATTTTCTCCTAAGCTATAAACTTCCTGTGGTTAATTCAGGTTTCTAAAAATCAAAATTTAAAATTATACTTATATTTTTATTATAAATTCCTTAATCTGTTAATTTAATTTGTGAATCGTAGTCTGGCTTAATTCTGAGATAAAGATACTATTCCATACAAATTTGTTTTGTTTTAGACATCTTATACTTTGACTCGATAGCTGTCTGGAAATCTGTCTGGAAATGATCTGTTCAGACATAAATTTCAAGAGACGAGCTCATAAAATACTTTTAAGGTTGCCAGGCAACTGCCCATTACTGCACATTTGGAAGAAATTCGGTTTTAATGAACAATATTCGGTCAATGCAGAGGATAAGATATAGTATATAAAATATAGTATTTTGAAAATATTAAATACATATTTGTACCTTTCTTAACAGGTAGCAAGTAAGTAATTATATACTACTCTTCGTCCTCACGTAGAAAAGCTCATTCTAAAATTCTCTCAGACAGAGGTAGAATTTGTCCAACTGTATTTAAAATTTTATGAAAGTTTATGAAGTCTTGTTAACATATATTTTCTATTACTCGACGTGATATTGCACCTGTAAAAGTAGCTGCGCGGTAACGATACCATACGTTTATTGAACTTAAAATATAAGGAACTTCATTTTTTAAACTATGGTTTCCCATACAGTGTTGTAGAACTTCCACAGGTAGTTCTACTGCAATTAGCAGACAGAGAAGATTAGTTACACAGTTCACATTTAATTACTTTCTTTTGCATATGTACAAGCAGTTTTTCCGAATAGCGACCAACAAGATAAACTAAACATATAAATTTAGTTAACATTCAGTCAGTAATTCCCCAACACTTATTCTTATCTCAAGTAAAGCCTATCCTCAGTTTTTCACATGTCATACATATATCCTAAAATTTATAGCTAAATTATGAAATTTTATTTATTTATTTATTTATATTTTATATTTTACAACGCATTTTATGACGTTTTCTTTGAGCTATACTCGAATTACCAGCCCGTGCTATATACGTTTGTATAATGTTTATATATTAAAGTTCTAATCAAGATAAAATTTTCCGTATCCCATTATTCATTTAAAATATCAGAGAGAGAAAGGAATAACCATCTATATAATTGAGAAGTACTATATCTTACAAAATAATAAAAAGACAAAATGTACTAGGTTGTAACTAAAAACTCATACATGACAAGGCTGAGTTGTAGCCCATCATGTTGAGTATTGCAATAACCTGAACCAAAAGTTTGCATATTTTTAATATCTTAGTCAGGCAGTTTGGGTTACCTAATAAAAATAGTCAACGTTTTTATAGAGAACATTTAGTTTTTCAAGCGAAGAAAAGCAAGAAATCAAGTGTGACTTTACAGGAATTCGAACCACAGATCTTCCATTTGCACAACCACAGATTTTAGTGAAGTGGACATTCTAACCATTTACAGATGATTATCAAAATAATGGAACTACCTGTGAATAAAGTGACATTTAAGAAATTAATGCGCTTCTTAAGCATTAAAATATAATCCCAGTTACCAGTTTTTTTTTTCAAATATAACAAGTATATATCATGAAAGTATGGGGTAGTTTTAGTGAATGATTGGATTTTTGGCACAAACGTAAAATGGTGGACGGAAGGACAAGCTGATTGAAAGAGACCAACGATTACTAAAGCGGAATATAATGTCTAAAAAGAAAACAATTGCAGCAAAGTTACCGCAAGGCTTAGTCAGCATCTGGATTGTCCAGTGTCAATAATAACAGTTAGGAGACACCATAAACAGAAGATTTACGGCCCAGCAGCTATTCCCAAGCCATTAGACACATATGTTACTGCCAAGCATCTCTACAGTGGCGCCACAACCACAAAACCTTGTCAATTTATAAACCTTATCAGTTCACAGTTATATGGTCAGACGAAACATCGTTTACACTTTTCCTACGACAGGATGGATGCACGTCTAGAGGACACTTGCAGAAGCGTATGATCATGATTGCCTCCTTCAAACCGTCAGGCATGGAGATGGATCTGTCATGGTATGGGCAACCATATCGTTATTTTCTGCTGGCCTAATCATAACTCTGCAAGCAAGGATCAGTGGGGAGAAGTATAGAGAAGGTTTAGCTGACCAGGTCCATCCTATGATACAAACTTTGTTTCCTGCAGGAGATGGAATTTTCCAGGATGGTAATGCTCCTATTCGGGCAGCAGGACTCGTCCAGTCATGGTTTGATGAACACGAGGATGAAGTGAAACATCTATCTTGGCCCGCAAAGCCCCACGGCCTCAATATAACGGAACCCTTATGGTCTGTTTTAGAGCAATCAATCCGAAACGATATCCTCCACCGGTATCTCTCCCGGAACTTTCACAGTATATACATTAAAGAATGGTATAATATTCCTCTACATACTATTCAGCACGCACATGTAGGATTCGATAACCAGATGAATTTAAGCTATATTATATCCCAAAAACGGTCTTATGCCATATTAATAACGGATTCCTTATAAATCTAGGGTGTTTCCATTATTTTCATAACCACTAAGCTCGGGGGACTGCAACAATTCTTCATATTTTTAATAAAAATCGCCAACGGAGAAAGTGCTCACCTAAGAGATGCAGGATAGGACTCAGTCGTTATGACGTCAACAGCGTTCCATCCGGATATGGATATGAAATTGAAGATGGCTTCGAAAGCAATGATCGTCGCCCGTGTGTCCAAGAACCATATTATAAATGCGCTCGCACTGGTTAGGAAAAGAGACGTCGCTGAAATGAGAAAAAACCAAGACGGTCAATATGTAGACATATAGATTATTTGTCATGCAGAATGGCCATACTTGAGCACAGCAAAATTGTTTAAGACCTTATAAAGCAGTGACTCGCATGCAACGCTGAGTCACAAGAAGCATTTAAAAATATAATTTTTATGATAAATTAGGTGGCCACAGCTTTCATTTGTAAAAAGTAAACAAAATTACAATTCTTTAGAGCACGGGTGTTCTCCAGGACGATGACTTTGCGACCCGTTAATCAAAAGTCGACTATAGAACGGTTGTTATCAAATATGATAGCCATTAGTATAATTTATGTTTTCCCTATTTCCTTGTTTTTATCATATAATTTTAAAGTGAATGAATGAGAGTTATATTTTAATCGTAATTCAAATAATCGCTTTCCTTTCGTTGTATTATTTGAAGTTTTCCGAAATTAACGCTTTCCGTACATTATTTGCAGTATAATTTAGCAATATTAAAGTGTGCCTTAATTTTAGTATGTCACTTTTCCGTTAGAAAGTTAGTTCTCAAATATTTATTAGCGAATTAAACATAAAATAAGTTTGCCGAGCTGATGACATTAACAGAAAAGTACTCATAATTTAGAAGATTCTTACAACGTTATGAAAACACTTCCACTTACCCATGGTTTTGACTCTTCCAAATTTATCCAGAATGAAAGAAGACAGCACATTTCCGGGTATGATAGCAAACTGAGCGATCAGATTTTCAGTGAAAATGTCCGTTAAGTTGTAATTCATATCAAAATCAAGTCCACAGCCTTCTGCAGTATTACGAAAAGTAGAGTTACGAAATGTGCAGTCGACAAACCTGTAGTCGTACAGATCGGTACGCTAAGAAAAGAGAGCATACTGTAAATACATTCATTGCTTTTACAATTTCTTAAAATTCATGAAATTCTGGTTTTAACCAGATAGCTATCATTTTGAGACACAGCCCAATGGGATACAATTTGGCAGCAGAAAGCTTAGTCTTATTGCTAAATTACCAGTATGTATTCCCTAGAGAAATAAGGAAGTTAAATAAATTTCTACGCTTGTAATTATTGATACAAAATTGTTACGCATGCAATGTACAGGCTGACGCCGAAGTCCGTTAACATTTGAAAATTCAATAATTCACTGAATAATGTAGGTATAGAGGTAAAAACTCACACACATGCTTGAAATGTCATGGAGTTTTATTGAAAGAAAAAAAAAAGTGCTTAAAACGGCCAACAGATGGCGCTTCATATGATAGCAAAAGTAGTATTAGTATAACAATTGATATTTAGCAAAGACTATGTTCTTTATAACAAATGTTCATCATGTCGGCTATCATTCATCAACAGTATCTGAAATCGAGGGGCAATGTTGTGAATACATTGTTGAAATGCTATACAGCATTTCTTTAGGTACAGTGAGAAACTGCCGTCGCATGTTGTCTTTAACATCTCTAAGGAGATCTGACGATCGCGGTAGACTTGCGATTTCAGGTAACTTCATAACCAATAATCACACGGATTGAGATATGGGGACCTGAGAGGTCAAGCACGACGGAAATCGCGGTTCAGCATGCGATCCTCACCAAACGATGAGTGAAAGAAATCTTTCACACTTGTAGCAATATGGGATGGAGCGAAATCCTGCATAAATGTCGTACCTTCCAACAGGTGTTTATCATCCAGGTTAGGGATGATGCGATCATGTAACAAATCAGCGCATCTCTCAACCGCCAGACTGACATTTTGAGTAGCAGAACTACGCATTTCCTCGGGAAAAAAAAAAAAAAAAAAAAAGTCCGATCACTATTGATGTGATAAATCCATACGACACCGTGACCAACACCCGGAGGCGAGGATAAAAAAGTGACAAGGTCATGTAAGGACTGATTCCCTCTCTCCCTACAGCTCATTTCGTACACGATTCTCTTGCGGCGTCACTGACATTTTGCTGACCAGCGCCATATGTTGGCCTTTGTTTTGCATTTCTTTTTGCTTTCATTAAAACCCAATGCCATTTTAAGCATGTATATCAATTTTTACCTTTCTATTCACATTATTCCGTGAATTATTGAATTTTCAAATGCTAACGAACTTTCGGGTCATCCTGTATAAATACAAAAGCTCGTGTCTAAATAAATATTCTTTTCTAGTTGAAGTAGCCAGGTTTCGTCAAGTTTGAAGCCAAATATGAAATAGGAATTTCAAATTTCTGCTTTTTTACATCTTGTATCCTGTTATAGTTAATAACACTACTCGTTAATTCGACAACAGCTTATTTTGGACATAGCTTAGAGAACTAATTGTGATGACAAAATGACCAGAATTTATCTGTTATAGTTAGAACACCATGCCTGTCTCGTCAACCAGATGGTAAAAAGACCTCACTCCGCGTGTTTTGCAGTTTCAGGGACTAAACAATATGTGAGTTTCAGGTAAGTTACAAACAATAATCATTTACAAAAATTGAAAGTGTTTAATTTCACGGTGCTAAGTTTTGAAAAATAGACAATGTTGTTTTTGATCTTTCATGTTTACAAAAGAATTTTAATGAACTCTTTATCGAAACGTTATTTAAAACATTACATATGAATTTTTTTAACACGGTGTTTTATAGGATGCCACAAAATATACTGATTAATAATTACACAGTGTAGAGACATTAGGATATTTTTTGGAAGCAGGAAAGATGAAAAATGAGCAACGCCTTTCCCGGTAATCGAACCACGGACCTCTCGAATACGCGCCCAGGGTGCAGACCACCACACCACGAAGACATGCGAGGAAGGCGGGAGAAGCACCTTATATACTCCCCCTTTTAAAGGGAGACTGGGGTTTTTTAGGGGACCTAGTCACCAAATCCTGGGTGAGGAGAATCATCATCCAACACCCTTTTAGTTCGTGCGCCACTGTAGAGACATTAGGTATTTTTGGAAGCAGGCAAGTTGAAAAATTTGCAGAGCTGTTGCCGGGAATCGAACCGCGGACCTCCCAATTACGCGCTGAGCGTGCAGAACCACGAAGGCACGCATACATGACAATGGCTTTTACGATAACAGAAGAACAGAAGGCAGTATAGTAACTAGTGTTGTTTCGCTGGGGGAGGTTGTTACTAGGCAGTAAAAAGAAATCTTAATTACTTTCACTTTCTTTTGTGAGTGCTGTAAAGGCTGAATAAATCAGTTTCAAAGGGCGTCTGTAAATTAATTCGTAAGGGGCAGTTTGATTGTTATCTTTAGTTTTTCTGCTTGTTAGCTGGGGGGGGGGTTGAATTGTGGGTTCTCCCGCTTCTGGTTCCAAGTGGTCAACCGTTTATTTCTACGATGTCTCTATTTTGATTCGTTTGACAGGGTGAAGGTTTTCAGAAAAATAAAAAAAGAGAAATTCTCAAATCGGTGAAATTTAATTTTATGCGGAATTTTTGGGCCTTGTTTTTATTGGGTGGAAAAACCGAGTTTACTTCGGAACTTGTAAGCGTGTTAATGACAGACAGATTGGAGTTGCAATGATGTGGAGTTCCGTTCAAAAATTCGTGGGGCGTTTGCCCTGTTGCGGGCGGCTTGCGCCTGCAGTCTGGATCAGTGTTTCTCTCGGCCTTTAGCTGATGAAAATTTTCGTTTGCTAGATGACCAAAAATAAACACGAAATTTTAGTTTCGCCGTTTTTCTTTATACTTTTCCGAGAATTTTAAATAAGCATTCTCGAAGTATTCCAGATGCAAGTACTTTTCATTGGGTTCCGGCACCTGCGGCTGAGTTACTGAAGCGTTCCAGATAGAAGTATTTGCTTTTAGCATCCAGCATCTGTTGTTCCAGATAATAATGGATGTTTCCGAAAGTGTTTTTGAAAGAAAAAAATGGTCTTTGCAAGTATTTGTCTTTAGTATCCTGCACCTGTAATTTCTAATAATAATGGACGCTTCCGAAAGTGTTTCTGCCAGAAAAATGGTTTTTGCTCTTTCCCCAGAATATGGAATTTGACACTAAAGATCCTTCAATTCAGAAAAATTGTCTCCCACCTATGAGTGAATTAAAAAAAAAATATTTTCTCTCTTTTCTCTGTCTTCTCGAATGCCATGGTGGACTAGTTAATAATAATTTATCCACATATATAAATTGTTATTACTTATATGATGTAAATATTGCTAAAGAGTAATAATATTAAGAAGTGATTAAAATTTTAAGTGAATGATCAGTTATTTTGGAAGAATAAGATTTGTATCACCAACTTAATTTATGAGTTAGAAAAATGTTAACTTTTAATTAATGTGAGTATGTAATTTTGGTGTGACATGTATGTTATTTGACATCGTAAGAATAATGTGGTAGGATACTGATCAGTTTATCCTGCCATATGAATTAGAATATTCAAAAAATTAATAAATGTGTTTGATTTCTAATTTAAGCTGCATTTGTTTTTTGTGTGTTAATTTACTTGGGTCTGTTATGTTACTCCATTTGCTTGAGCCGTAAGGCTTTTAAGAAACTTTGAGATTTCTAATTTCGGGTATTGTTATAAGGTAATTCTCCCACCTTCTTAGCATGCCTTCGTGGTGTGGTGATCTGCATGCTGGCCACGTATTCAGAGGTCCGTGGTTCGATTCCCGGCGGAGGCGTAGAATATATTTCATCTTTCCTGCTTCCAAAATATCTCTACAGTGTCGCCCGAACTAAAAGGGTGGTGGATGATGATTGCACGCTGGCCGCATATTCCAGAGGTCGGTGGTTTGATCCGCGGCGAAGGCGTTGCTAATTTTTCATCTTGCCTGCTTCCAAAAATACGTAATGTCTCTACACTGTTAATAACTTTTAATTGGGTGATTACAACGCGCCCTTTAATGTTTGTACTAACCACTTATTTATATTTATTTGATTGTTGTTTTCGGTTAAATTGTAATGATATTTAAGTGCCAGGATTGCATTTAAACTCTTGATTGAATTTTTTCTTTTGAGGAAAACTGTTCTGATTGTTTATGAATGTTTCTTCTCTGGTGTTTGTGAGGTTTTTGAATTAAAGGAACGTACTTGTTGCTCTCGAGTTAATTATAGAAATGATTGAATATGTAATTTAAGTGAATTTAAGAAATGGTTTTGTTTGAGAGCTAGTATTATATTTTACTCGAGCATCAGCGAAGATTTATTCCTCTTTAACTTTCAGTTTAAGGTTTATCAAGTGTGAATTAGCTTTAATTGAATTTATGTAATTCTAAGAAATTGTTTACTAAATGTGAATTTAGATAAATCAATCATACAGTTCCTCTTCTTCTTCACACAGCTTATTTTTTAAAGTTTCAATTTAATTTTAGTAAAGAATTCTTTATTTTAGTTTTATCCGGCACCAGTTAAGTTAGGTTAAGTCAGACAGTTTTAAAAGTGTAAAGGTTAAAAGTTCAACTACCATAAATTCTCAGCTTCGTAACAAGGACAAGAGAAGAAAATGCGTCAAGGGTACCCTGATAGCTTTATTAAAAATAAATGAGTCGTTAATAAAATAATTTAAGATAAATCAAAGGAAATTATACAGAAAGTAGCATACACTATGGAAAGCATTAGCTTATGTCAATAGCTTTAATGAAATTGTCTTACCTCGAACATAATTTTCACAAACTTGGAATGCAGGAAGAAGGTTCTAGAGGAGCGGATATTTCTGAAAGTATTATTCTCAAAGAAGCAGTCGGTGAATAAGCAATGGTTCAGAATCACATCTTCGAACTTAAAATTCAGGAATTGCACATTTTCAAAATGGTGGTTGGCTAACATTCCCGAAAAATTTCCAGAATTCAGTGTTCTGTTTACGTAAATAACAGCTGTTTCATCGTACTTCTCTTCTTGTATTTTTCGGATATATTCTGGAAACCAGATGGACATGCCGTAGAAACTGCGAAAGAATATTTTAAACCAAACCAAGAATATTAATTATGTGCTTTATACAAGACATGAATGACAGGAAATAGGTATTCACTTATGTTCAAAACTATTATTATTATTTTTTATTTTTTTGCATTCAAGAGATTAAAACGGATAAACCAAAATATAAAAAAAAAATTCTTAACCTGCAGAATTTTTGTGAAGTGTACTATAAAATAAAAAATATTTTTTTTTCGCTATCCTAATATGTTTGTCTATATCTGACTACAAATAAAATCTTGGACAGCTCTGCGCAAATTGTATCAAGACCGTAACAGAGTTTCAGGGAAGAGTACGAAGTGGTTGTACAAAAAATGACATACATAAGAATGAATAAAACTCAACTCAATACTTACAGTTTTGATTTAAAGTCTGCCATTTTTAGCAGGTGCACGCTTTAAATTTTTGTTACATACGAAAAAGAATATTATGTTATGATAGCTAAAAATTATTTTTCACATTTTATTTCATTTTTGAAATTGTATAAAATAAAAAATTCTGTTATTATTGAAATGTAATTAGAATTGGCTTACAAAATTTAATAAATGATAAAAAGAAATTTTGTTTGCTTAATTTGAATAATTGTTGTTACGTTATACGAATAAATTACATTATTTTTACGTTTTATAAATAAATTACTACGTACCCAAAAGCTGTCGTGATCCATACTATGAAAAGAATCATAGTTACTTTTGTGTATGGTGGCCACAGGATTTGCATGAACGATCCCCAAAACTGCGAAACAAGAAATGTTTAATGCTTTAGAAAACGAGTACAAATAATTGGTATTTTTAGTAAATAAACTATTGAATGGATCTGTAATAAATAAATTATTGAATATATCTGGAAAAATTAATTTTATTCTGTCTGGAATCTGAATCGTGGTAAAATTGTAAGGATCCTAAGTTTTACTAACGTTTATTTTATTTTAAAACTGTACTATCACTTCTTATTTTCTACTTCCCGGCAAGAATTAAATGCTTTAACTTGTTTATGCAAATTGTCTTGCTAACGCCCAAGTACTTAAATTGTGGCTTTTTACCAAGAGAGAGAGAGAGGAAGGAGTTATAGGAAGCAAGCCGCTTGCCACTGTAGTTTTACGAGTTTTCACTCTGTTGCTGGTTGCCTTTAAGGCCAGAGGTTTAGCCCTCTTGTTATTTGCGAACGTAATGTAGTTTAAGCAGCTCGGCGTACTACATACGTACCTTTCATTAAATAAAGGCCAATCTTAGTGGCATTTGCTATACTAATTCAAAGTTAGATTTTAGTTAGAGTTTTAGTTAGTAGTTTTATATTCTTACGTTCAGACCACAAGTGTTTGGTCTCTGTATCCCGAAGTTTCAGAAATACCTGTAAAAGATAGAAAATAAAGGGTTTCGTATACCCTTTCTGCTTGTGTTGTCTACTTTTACACATTCTTGAACATAGCTTGAGTGAGCTCTCTGTTCCTATTCAGGACCATTCATGTTTCCAAAGCAAATCAAGAGAAATACAAGTCCTGATAAAATCACCCTCATTTTTTATTTTTACTTGTATGCAAAACAAAGCTACAATAAATTTTCTGCTCTGAAGTAAATCACAAACGTAAGGTATTTAAAGAATTGCACATTTAACTATTTACTTAACTATTGCAAAAAATGCACATTTACCTATTTAAAGTGTAAAAGCGTAAGATTTATTTCGGCTTACATGTCATTTCTACTTATTTCTTTCCTGTAACTTCTATTTTTACGGTTAGCTCAGCCCAGAATATAAGTTAGGAGTTGCTTAAAAAGCGAAAAAATGCAAAATTTAGAGATAGAGACAGAGAGAAAGAAATTTAATCAGAGAGAGAAAGGTCATCAGAAAGTAGTTTATTTTCGCAGGAATTTTTGAGCCATACATCGCTAAATGCTATCCTTCAAGAGCTGGAGGGTGATTTGCATTCTATTATTAGGGGGAGGAAAGCAAAATGAAGCTATTCTATGCAGCCTAAAGCGTACTGTTCTCTTATAACTTAAACACGTTGTATTAATTTGAAATCTGCGAGTTGGTAGTTAAATCTGAAATTTATAACGTTTGGCATATTTTGTTGTCATTCAAAAGTGACCAAACCCTTAGTAGATCTTCAGCGAACTATCTCTAAGTAACAACTGAAACTTGAGAAGGGAGTAAAAGACCCTTTATTTTAAATTAAATTAGAACAGAAGGCACACTTGGCGCTTACAACTTAGCCAACAACTTGTGGCCAGATAACTTGAGGTAACAGTAAGTCAAACGTAAAATTTAATTTAAACAAGCTAGTAGACAAAGGCTATACTGATAAATTAAAGCGAAGTTGGCTCAAAACTTAACCGACGTGGAAATTCAAATAAAAGCAATTATAATGCAAGGCCGAAGACTACAAATTTTATCTTAATTAGCAACCTATTAATGTGGTCTCGTGAGGCAGAACACGCTCTAACTTACACTCTAAAACCCTCACTTTAAATACAGGCGAACTAATCTGCTTTCTGGCGGGAAAACGGAAAAGGAGATGTGACAGTAAAGATCCCAAACATAAAATAACTGTTTAATTAACATAAAGGAACCTAAAAGCGATAACAAATAAATCTAGGATTTCCTCAGAATATAACAGAAAATAAGCAAGCAAGTGGTACCGTAGCAAAAACTACAACAGCATAGTAAATACAGAAGCATATTAAATGCCATTGCAAATAATAGCAAATAAATTTAGGTTACATACGGTCTTGTTGTGAAACTTACATTGCATTCAGAGTTCGTTTAAACATAATAAATTTAGGAAATGTAAAGAAAGTAAATAAAGCGAAACCCTGTACGCCAAGCTGCTTTACTATGCTCTGATTCATTTATTTCTGGCGGTTTTCAGTTTTAAACAAAGCGAATTTCAACTTTATGATGTAGCGCGCTATGATACATTTCTCTTACCTTCCGTAATAAAACCGGAAAGAATATCGATGCCAACCAGAAATTTGCAGTCGGCACAGAGAAAACATTATTTGCTTTGCGTAAACAGAACTATATATATATATATATACAGAGGCATCATTTTTTAGTCTCCTGCTTCTATTTTGCGTTCCAGGAAAATCTTTAAACAGTTTTACTTGATATTTCCATATACGCGTTTATTTTCTTGTCACGTAACATTTAGTGCTTTTTTTTGAAATTTTCTAGACATTTTAACCATATCTGTTTTTTTGTTTATAGTTCCTATGGTAATGCAAATTTGTCGCGGTGTAGGTCTAAAAACATTTCACATGAAATGTCGCCATGTTTTGTTTAGCTTTCATATATTTATAAATTTTGTTGTCGAATGTCTTCTAGTTTTTATTTCTCTGTCTTGAGTTATTTTTATCGTTTTAGAAGGAGATAATGTTGCTTGCTGCCTCTGTCATATCCTTCCTTTTCTTGGGTGTGTAGTTTCTGGATATGTATTTACTTCCTACCGTAGACGTATCGTATTGTGTGCGTTGCATAAAACAGCCATTTTAACGGCACAAAACTTTATTAACACACAAAAATAATAAGTACAAACGATGAACACACAAGTATCACTTCGTTTCTTGCATCTAAGCTGACATACAACACATTTCCTTCGTTACTTCGCTACTACGTACTAACTACTCTTCTCTAGTAAGTCTCATGAGAGAGAGGCGTTGCAGGCCGTTCGGCTAAAACTGCGCATGCGTGGTCATCACGTCATGACACCTCCCCTCGAAAAGATTTGATTGCGTCTTTCAATGACCTGTCAAATCCACATATATAAACATTTCTTGAAACAAAAATAAATAAACATCATGAAATTTTCGAACTTAATTAACCAATTCTTACCATTTTAAATTAAAATTACTTCAACATAAATTCAGTAATCCTATTCATTTAAAAGGATGTAACATTCAATTAACTTTTCAAACTTAAATCCTTCACATAATCATAATCATATAAGCAGTTATCATATAAACGAGACAATACAAATCAATCATTTAAAATTAAACATAATACTTTAGCAAACCCTAGGCTAAATCTTTAAACCAATTACATAACGTTAGGAAAAAAAATTTAGCATTTTAGCTCAAAAAAAAAAAAAAAAAAAAAAAAAAAAAAATCAAACTAAACAGTCAAAATGTCTTATAGTTCATAGTTCATAACGTCAGTCATGCTCCCAGTGAGAGGCAGTCAATCGAGATAACGAATCTGCATTAATATGATCTTTTCCTTTCCGGTATGTAATCACTGCATGAAATCGCTGTAATGCTAAAGACCAGCGTTGTAAACGAGAACTTTGTGAAGAACATTCGGTGAGAAATCTGAGAGGGTTATGATCACTAACGATGACTATCTCAGAACTGAAAGATATAAGCTTCAAACTTCTTCAGGGCAAAGATAACGGCAAACGCTTCCTTTTCAATAACAGCGTAATTTCTTTGTGTCTCGGTCAACCTTTTACTAGCGAAGGCTATTAGGTGTTCTACACTATTTTCATCTTGTTGAGCCAAACAAGCTCCTACAGCGTATGCCGATGCGTCTGCATAAATGATGAAAGGCAAACTAAAATTTGGAGAGTAACATTTAGGGGCATTGAATAACCTCTTCATTGTGTTCCTTCAGCCAAGCAATTTCGTTCAAAGCCCTTCTTTTTGTTAATGCCGTTAAAGGTTGTGCTATCGCAGAAAAATTGGGTACGTAAAACAGGTAATACGATAATAGTCCTAAAATACTTCTTACATCTTTCTTAGTACAGGGAACTTCTAAATTCTGTATGGCTTCAACTTTTTCTGGGTCAGGTTCATGTGAACTGGAACCAAGTACGTGTCCTAAAAATTTGATTTTATGCTTTGCAAAGTCACACTTATTGAAATTAACCGTGAAATTTGCCTTTTCTAGCGTACTTAAGACTTTGTTAAGATGTTTCAGATGTGTATTCCAGTCATCAGAAAATATAATCATCACGTCATCAATATAAGAATCGGCGTAGTCTTTATGTTCGGCGAGAAGTTTGTTCATAAGTTCTCTGAAAAGTTGCGGCGGCATTCTTTAATCCAAACGGGTAAAACTACAAAGGCATATTGTCCTCTGTGGGTCACAAACGACGTCAAAGGTTGGCACTCGGGCTTCAGTCGTATCTGCCAGTACCCTTTAAGAAGATCAATCAAAGTGATGTATTTGGACTTTGACACTGGTAAATTAGGTCTACAGTGTTTTTCAAAGGCATTTCACGGGCATATTCACTTTCTGATTCAACGATTAGCTTTAGCTGTAAAAGCTTATCTATTTGACGATCAGCTTCATTTCTTAGAACTTCAGGTATTCGATACGGTTTCTGCTTTCCTGGCATACTTCCAGGTTTCAGTTTGATGCTGTGTTCTCTCACATTGGCGATTTTCGGAATACCAGTTCTTAGGTTCTTATGCCTTCTTAAAATTTCCATAAGTTCTTTCTTCTTATGCGGTTCAAGGTGTGTAAAATCACATTCCTCATTAGAATAGTGTTCTTTTGCTTTCCGTGGAACAATTCTTGGAACGTTTTCAACTTCGCCGAAATCAATATCTGTATCATATATCACACCGACATTATTCACAGCGGTATTGAACTCTCGTATCTTGTTTGCGTGAACGTGCTTCGATGAATTGTCAGGCATTTGTACTATGTAACTATAATCAGTATGCTTTTTGATGATCGTAGCAGGTCCCGTCCATCTGGCATAAACTTTGTTTTGGCTATCAGGGATTAAAACT